TGGATATGTAGTGAGCTGATGTCTGAGCCCCTCGGTGTGGATATGTAGTGAGCTGATGATGTGTATAATGTAATCATATTTAATATTACTTTAATATGTATAAGTATATTAACTAATAGATAATTCTAATTTTAAAAAAATCTTTATTGAACAAAAAAAAAATATTTTTGGGGCTCTTTCTCCTGAACTAATCAAAATTGTGTTTCGGGAAACAACGCTTTCGTTTCTCTATTACCTAATTAAAGTTAAAATTACTAAACTTATTTTTAAATCAAATTAATCTTTATATATATAATTCTTCTGTGAGTGTGTATGTCACTGAACTTCTCTTAAACAACTGGACCGATTTTGATGAAATTTTTTTGTGTGTTCAAGGGGATCTGGGAATGGTTTAGAATCACAATTTTCATCAAATATTAACTTCATATTAATTTATTCAAATTAAAGACGTGTAGACAGGACAACGTCTGTTGGCTCCGCTAGTTTATATATAATAATTGGATATTTTGCAATGTAAAAGCTATAGTATCAGTAAACTTTAGTTATAAATATGTTACAGACAAATCTGCAAGTAGCAACCCCACCTCAAGAAAGGAAGCAGATGACGACTACAACACTCGCAGCAGCTGCTACAGAAACTGTTGGCAATGAGATATTTGATGCAGATTGCTTGAAACTTATCAACGAATACTTCTATGGTGTTAGGTTAGTACCTGGAAACTCCATTTCACATATTTTGTCTCTTTTAATTTCAATATAAATGAGAGGGAAGTATGATTTTCTACAAGGGCTTCAAAGTCAAATGACACTGAATGTGTTATGTTTGTGTGCTTTGGAAATTTACACGGACAAATACCCTTAGTGTACTTATATGGTAAAGAAGAATATGAATCACATGAGATGTCACTCGACAAAATCTGTTTAGATGTTTAGACTAAAGGTCACACAATGAGTATACATTTTTAGAGTAAAAGTTATTTTAGGTTATTTAAGCAAAAAAGTCTCTAAAAGAGGCCAAAACTTACGGCATTATTTATTTCTTCCAGACTCTTGAAGCTAATATTTCATGTTATATGCTTTTATTTTAAAATTCAATTAACATTGGTTGCAGAATATTCCCCGGTCAAGATCCCACTCATGTGTACATCGGCTGGGTGACCACGCAGTATCACCTTCATTCCAAGGACTTCAATCAAAATAAGGTGATGAAGTCATCTGTCATCATCACCGATGATTATGATAGAGTCATCGAAAGGTTAGTAAAATATTTGCTTTATTTAACCGGTTATTTAAATGTGTTTTAATATGTATTAGGAAACTAGTGCCCCGCTGCGGCTACGCCCGCCTATTACCCATTTTACCCACTTATTTTACGTCTGATAAGTCGCAGGTTTTAAACGTGAGTAAAAAAAGGTCGGTCGATCATACACCACTAATTTACTAATATGTCGTCGTGTCAGCAACTCACTGCTACACCTTATTCGTTATGTTGCAAGGAACAATTTTCTTGTAAGCGTAACACCGCGAAGTGCCCTGACTGTACGTAGACTTTAACCACGTGATATCTTCTACTCTAATTGTTAGAATAGTGTGATAAATCAAAGTTATATTTCTATGGTGTTTTTTTTTTATTTTCAGTGTGAACCGTCAGTCTTGCTACATGGTACGTGCAGATGAGCTGTACAACGAGGTGATGGCGGAGGCTACTGGTAAAGGCGCTTCACAAGGCATGTTCATAGGCTGCTCCGTGGACACCTCTACCGGAACTGTTGCCTTCACTTGTGAGGGCAAAGAAACTAGTATTAAATTTAAGGTATTTTTTGTTGCTTTTTGTTTATAGATGGTTGTTAGATTATGTTTCTGAATGAGTAATTTATTACTTATATGGTTATTACGTCCTATAGTAGAACGAACTATTGATAAATTTAGACATCTTTAAGATAGCCAAAAAATTAATTCCCCATGCCTATATTCATAATAATGTCAATCTTACTAACATTATAAATGCGTATGTTTGGATGTATAGGAGGATGGATGTTTGTTAAAAGGTATCTCCAGTGCGTTTACATGGATCTTGCTGAAATTTGTCATAGATGTAAAATATAGTGTGGAAGAAAACATTTGATGTGATTCGCGGGCGATATTTCCAGATGGAACCAGAAACGAAGCTGTTCCCGGCGATATTCGTGGAGGCGACATCGAAGGAGATCCTGCAGATCGAGCTGGGGCGGTCCTCCAGCAGCCTGCCGCTGAGCGCGGCCGTGCTGCCCACCAGCGACAAGCACGTCATACCGCAGTTCCCGCCTCGCCTCAAAGTGCAGTGCCTCAAGCCGCACCAGTGGGCGCGGGTAAGTCAACAGAACGCCCATATGTGTCTACCCCTTCGTCTAATCTACTTCCTCCTCCTATACTTTCTTAATAATAAAAGGAAAAGAGGAGTAAAATGACACTTCCAGCACTCATTAGACTGTACGCGGAGTTACTTGCACTTGAAGCGTGTGTTCAATTTGGTCGTTGTAACCAGGCATGGTGACCAAAGTCAAATTAATTTATGATACATTACTAACGCTTTCCTCTTAAAATCAAAGAAGTATAAGGTCATTGTCGTATTATAGTTGTCATGTTTTTTTATATCGTTTTCTCATGCTATTTCTTGAGCTTTGTCAATGTAGTTGTTTATCTATGGGAACCGAACTTTAGAGTTTATTTACACACGTCTACGCAATATACTTAAAAATTAAATGATATGTTTAAGCAGTAACTTCATGTTTCTTCATAGGTACCAAATCAATCGCTACAAGTGCACGCACTCAAACTGTCAGACATTCGCGGTTGGTCCATGCTCTGTGAAGATGCAGTCTCCATGTTGGCATTGCATATACCAGGTGAATATACATATTTTATTTAATAATTAGTGAAAATATCCGATTTTCTACTATTTATAAAGTCATATAATTATACTTAAAATTACTATACATTCCAACTAAAGGGCTCGGAGCCTAATCTAAGTCAGTGGTCAGCAATACTCAACCACGCTGGCCCTGTGCGTGTTGACTACACACATATCTTTGAATTTCTTCTCAGATATGTGCAGCATCACGATGTTTTCCTTCACCAAAAGAACGTCGGATGGAAATGTACATATGTAAATCGAACATTGGTACAGGACGGGATGCGAACCCAGGGCCTACAGAATACAAGTCAAGTACATTAATCCTGAGCCATTGACCCTCTAAGAATTTAATATTAAACATAAATTATCTTGAAATAACTGAAATGTTATTATACTAATAAAACAATTTACTCAACAGAGGAAGATCGGTGTATTGATATTCTGGAGCTAATAGAAATGGACAAACTGCTCAGTTTCCACTCACACACGCTCACGTTGTACGCGGCCTTGTGCTATCAGAGCAACTACAGGTGAGGAATTTTAGTACAAACTGGTTCCTTCAGAATCTTGCTAATATTATAAATGCAAAAGTTTAGATGGATGGATGTTAGAAGATATCTTTAAAATAACTCAACGGACCTTAATGAAATTTAACATAGATGTAGAACATAGTTTGGAAGAACACATAGGCTATTAAGATTTTTTAATAACTCGCTGATGGTGTCGCGGGAGACAGCTAGTATAGTAAAAATCATGCAATATCTTATCAATATTCCGGTTCCGGTAAACCTTTAGGTACATTTCTTCGTCTTGTGAATCTTTTTAATTTAATTCCCCCGTATCTTGTCTCTCTTTCGTATCTTCTGTGAAGCCCCTGGTATATTTGAAAATCACTTTGGTAATTTAAATATACTTCATTTTAACTTTAAATGTTTATATTTTCAGAGCAGCACACGCGTTATGTCAGCATGTCGATCAAAAACAACTTTTATATGCGATTCAATCCCAGTACATGTCTGGACCATTACGACAGGGATTCTATGATCTACTCATAGCTTTACATCTGGAATCTCATGCTACTACTATGTAAGTATTATATCATCAGTTCACACATATATATATATATATATATATATATATATATATATATATATATATATATATATATATATATATATATATATATATATACATGACATAAACTATCGTATATTTGAAACGTAAATATTGAACTAAACTACTTTAAAAATACAGAAATAAGTATTCATCATGTTGACATTTCGTAAGACGTTATAATAAATTAATTAGAAATTAACTCACGACCGTCCAGTGATGGCACCTACTATTTTTGGACCTATTGGGGCTCCATCAAGGCGGATGCTTATTTTGTTTTTGAAGATGGACCCTCTATGGGTCCAAAATTAGTCGATGCATTCACCAGACCATCATACGTGAGTTAAACCGTCCCTAACTTATTCTCTAATCGACTTAATTTAATATAAAACAGGAGAAAACCACAAAATTGTGACTTAAGTCTAAGTAGGAGCCATTGATGTATCTTCAATAACTGCCTCTTATATACAAAACTTATAATTATAATACGTTGTTATGTTAAGGGAGACATGTAAAAACGAGTTCGTGATCCCCCTGGGTCCGGAGCTGAAGGCGTTGTACGAGGAGGCGGACATGCGGCACAGTCTGCGCTCACTGCAGACTGAGAGTGTACGCCCACAGATGAACATGACTGATATATCGTAAGTACATAATATTGTGCCTAAAAAATAAAGAGCGTCGGTGGCTCAGGGGTTTAAGCACTTGACTTGTAATCTGCAGGTCCTGGGTTCGAATCCCGCCATGTACCAATGTGTTTTTCGATTATAACATATGTACATTTATCCGACGTTCATACGGTGAAGGAAAACATCGTGATTCAACCTGCACATATCTGAGAAAGAATTCAAAGATATGTGTGAAGTCCACCAACCCGCAGTGGGCCAGCGTGGTTAGGGTAGGGTAGGTAGGTGGATAGGGTAGGCTCCGAGCCCCTCGGTGGGGACGTATAGTGAGCTGATGATGTATATACATAACATTGTTGTCTCTATTTTGTACAACAAAAGGAAAGCGATGACAACAAAAATCATTACAATTTAAACTTATAGTGTTCCTACAAATACATAATACAATGAACTCTAAAACAACACTATTTAGTAATTAAAAAAGCAAATAACCCTACTAAATGTAACTTAATGACACTAAGGGGAATACGAATCGAATGACACCTCAATTGTCAAAATTGTTTGATTTGCTTAGACTACAAGATGCATCAGCAAAAAACTTTTCCCTTGTCAAACTGACATTCTAACGAACATTCTGTAGCTACTTTTAGATATTATTAGCTGTCGCCCGCGACTCCGTCCCCTCGGGATTAAAAATAGATGTTGGCCGATTCTCAGATGTACTCAATATGCTCACAAAATTTCATGAGAATCGGTAAAGCCGTTTCGGAGGAGTATGGGAACGAAAATTGTGACACAAGAATTTTATATATAAGATTAGGTAGAATCCTTTGACACGAAATTGCGCGCTTTCATTACAAAGTCAAGTGTCAGAATGATTAGTGAGGGGACATAAACATCCACATTTTAGTATGGCTAATGTAGAGCCGGTACACCGGCACACTGTCGGATTTTCTTCCTGTCACAAATATCTATATACTGCAATACGTATAGCATTCATGTTACAGCGGAGAATCTCTTATGGTACATATCTGATTATTTGTTCCCAGTGAGAAAATAACAGACATCAGCAATCTGTACTCGCCGTACTTCCCGTTGGAAGTGGTGCGGGAGTTCGTGATGCAAGCACTGGCAGATGCTGTCGACACCAACCAAGTACACAACAGAGATCCCGTTGGGGGCAGCAATGAGAACCTCTTCCTGTGAGTACTATAGGAATTACCATAAGAGTGAGAGAGATAACTAATGTATCGGAAGTTTACCCTCAAATGATATTAAATAAGGCCATTCGTACACAAGGCTACGCAATTGTTTGGTTGCGTCGTAAGAATCTCGTCGAGTCGTCTATTCGCTTAGTAGTGGAATAGCGACATTTCAACTGTACAGATTTGCTCCGCCATTTTGAAAATTCTAGCTAATTTTCTCATGACGTTGTTGGAAAACTTGCGAGGGACTGGTCTTCAGCGATGACAGAAATTTTGGCGACGCGCGCTGTATGCAAACTGACCGACATTGCATTGTTAAAGTCACTTAGCGACTTTATTGGCCGGGTTTCTGATGTTTACATTGCCTTAAGTACTTCTTTCTCTACTTTAGAAATGTATGTACCTGTTGACCCCCTTTACTCTCTTTATTGATTTTCCCAAGCTATTGATTATGTTTTTTTTTTCAGTCCCCTTATAAAGTTGGTGGATAGACTGCTTCTTGTGGGCATGATGCGTGACGAGGACGTGGAGAAGTTACTCATCATGATCAACCCTGAGACATGGGATCCCACGTTTGATAAAGGTAAGTCACAAAAACCCATTTGATGACTTAGTTATTGCAAAATAAAAAAATAGCCTATAAAATGTCTTGTGACTATGACCTACGCTTGTCATTTAAGGTAGGCTCCAAGCCTTTCACTGAACATTTTTAGTGAGCTGATGAGGATGATGATGCCCGATCAAAATCGGTTCCAGTCGTTTCAAAGAGTATCCAAACGAGGCCCTGCAAACAGACAGACAAAATTTAAAATTATTCTACGACAGGGTATTGTGGCATTGATGGGGGAGGCCTACGGCCAACAGTGGACAAATCCGGACTGACAATGATAAATATTTTTTTTCGATTTTACATACAGACAATCTAACATTATTAATATGTATAAAACTCACCAATATATGATCTTAAATAAAATTATCCCATATTATATCAGAGGGCAAAGACGAGCACCGCAAAGGACTACTGCACATGAAGATGGCGGAGGGAGCCAAGCTGCAGATGTGCTACTTGCTGCAGCATCTCAACGACATCCAGCTGCGTCACCGCGTTGAATCCACTATTGCCTTCGCACACGACTTTGTAGGCGATCTACAGACTGACCAGCTCAGGTACAGTCTCCATTACCAAATATACAAAAATATATTGCATATCCACGCTTATGACATTGGTTCTTATTGATTTGTGTTTATTCAATTTTATTAATTGTTACTTTCAGACGTTACACAGAGATCAAACAGTCAGATCTACCGAGTGCGGTGGCGGCCAAGAAGACGAGGGAATTCCGTTGCCCGCCCAGAGAGCAGATGAACGCTATTTTAAGTAAGCAGAATCATTTTCATAGAATTAAAATGTAATTTGTTAATAAAGAATCTGCTCAAAATTAATAAAAACTCAACCACGAGCTTCCAAAAATGTGATTTACTTGCTGTTAATTATACTACATGAATCTGTCACTTTTATATTTCCTTGTCTCTTCTTAGGTTTTAAACATATGGAAGAAGAAGACAAAGAGAACTGTCCATGCGGCGAAGACCTCATCGCCAGGATGAACGAGTTCCATGAAAGCCTCATGGTTCATATATCTTTGAACGCGCTGCAGGAACCTGATTCCCAGGTGAACTACATAAAATCATACAATCCTTGAGAGAAATAAAAAAAAACTTGCAGCAGCATCGCAATAATATTGCTCGTCTGGGTTCTTCTACATGAAAATCTCCGAAGTAGTTTAAAAATACAAAGATATTTTACTAAATTGTTATGTAAATATAATATATTTATAAAAGCATTATTTACTGTTAAAATTATCTCTATAATCGTGGGTTTCTGAGACACAAATCTACTTATAAAACATATTGTTATTTCTGTTTTATTAAAGATAGGGTCGACATGCTTTATACAGAGGTTTTGGTCTCAGAAAACAACAGTAAATATTATATTCAGTAATTTCCTTTTTACAGGAACCTACGGAACCAGAAACGAAGCCTGGAGCGTTCGGAAAATTGTACAATATTATTAATACAGTTAAAGAATTAGAAGATGAACCAAAGGTTAGTTTTTTTCACTGAATCGAATATTTTATAACACGTGTCCATCGTATTTCCTTTATGAATGATATCTTATGCTTAATTTTAGGCTATCGAAGAACCACCGAAGAAAACTCCAGAAGAAAAGTTCCGTAAAGTTCTGATACAAACAATTGTCAATTGGGCGGAGGAGTCACAGATTGAAACGCCCAAATTAGTCAGAGAAATGTTTAGGTAACGGACTTAATTTGACTTCTATTCCTTTGCATCTTTGAACCACTAAACGAATTTCACTCAATTTATACATTTCATCATCATCAGCTCCCGAAATGGAAGTAAACGTTAAGATAATAATCCCGATTCCCTTACCGTGGGTTTCAGAGACCAAAATCTCTGTATAAAATATATCTTCATTGTTGTAATTAACTTCGAGAAAACACAGATAACAATATGTTTTAAACGAAAATTATGGTCTCAGAAACCCGCGGTTAGTATGGTTTTAGTCAGAGAACATTTAATCACTTGAAATCTATATAAATCTTTTCTTTACCAGTCTGTTAGTCCGTCAGTACGACTCAATAGGAGAACTGATCCGAGCGTTGGAGAAGACGTACGTCATTAATGCGAAGACCAAACTGGACGTGGCCGAGATGTGGGTCGGTCTCAGTCAGATCAGAGCGCTGCTGCCTGTGCAGATGAGCCAGGAGGAGGAGGAACTAATGAGAAAGAGGCTATGGTAAGGAGACATCAAACATGTCAATAAGCATGTATGTCATTGATCCGATATCAATATTGACGCGGACTATACTTTAAAAAGGTGTTTTTTTAATAATATTTTATCAACCTACAGGAAATTGGTGAACAATCATACATTCTTCCAGCATCCAGACTTAATAAGGTAGGTTCAAACAATTTTTGTTAATCCATTAATTAGAAAATCACATCTTTCTAACATAAAATTGAGTACAATGTTAAAATGGTGCGATCATCTTTAAAGCCACGTCTTTAACCCTTTCGCTGCGGTTATTTCAATGTTGACTTATTATGTTAATTGTCAGAGTACTGCGCGTGCACGAGAACGTGATGGCTGTAATGATGAACACGTTGGGGCGACGTGCGCAGGCGCAGTCTGACGCGCAGCCCGCCAACCCGCCCGCTGCTGATGACACTAGCAAAGAGAAAGTAAGTATGCGTGCACAACTTCTGTATCAAGACGAAATATCTTGCAATAAGTATTTATCATATCAACTAGCTGTCGACCCCCGTCTCCGTCCGAGATTAAAAAATACTTAATTGTTTTCTTCTAGACTATGTTCTTTATCTATGACAAATTTCATCAAGATGTGTTGAGCCGTTCTGGAGATACCTTCTAACAAACATTCATCCATCTAAAACTATGATTTAATATTGTAGGATACTTCACACGAAATGGTGGTAGCTTGCTGTCGCTTCCTGTGCTACTTCTGCCGCACTGGACGACAGAACCAAAAAGCTATGTTCGACCACTTCGACTTCTTGCTGGAGAACTCCAACATCCTGCTGTCCAGACCCTCACTCAGAGGATCCACGCCGCTAGATGTCGCTTACTCCAGTTTGATGGAGAACACAGAACTTGCGCTGGCGTTGAGGTAAATATTGAATTTCCTCATATCCACTTTCCTTCCTTTGCTTTTCATATAAGAAAGTATAGAGGAGTTTACGCTTATGAAGGGGAAATATTCTGTTTCTGTACCTGGAGAGGTACAGAAATAGAATACAGAGAGGTGGAGTCCTCCGTCAAATAAAATGTACGCTTAAGCTAAATCTTTTAATTCTGGTAAAAACACTTTATATCTTATCGTTATATCTCACAAGATAAATAAAAAAAGTCAAATATCTGATCTTTGAATTTGTCTTCCCATGTTCACTTGTGACAACAAACATCAAATTTATAGGTAAATTGGTTTAGTCTTACGTTTTTGTACAATTGAATGTGTTTGTATGGCTTCAGAGAGCACTACTTGGAGAAGATCGCGGTGTACCTGTCTCGCTGCGGGCTGCAGAGCAACTCCGAGCTGGTGGAGAAAGGTTACCCAGACCTTGGCTGGGATCCTGTCGAGGGCGAGAGATATCTCGACTTCTTGAGATTCTGTGTCTGGGTAAGTTAACTAAAACGTCATCATCAGCAGCTCACTATACGTCCCCACCGAGGGACTTGGAGCCTACCCTGAGTTAAGCGATTAAGCCATAGTCAACCACTAGCTCAGTGCGGGTTGACTTCACCCATATCTTTGAATTTCTTCCCAGCTATGTGCAGCGACACGATGTTTTCCTTCAACGTAACAACGTGGGACCATATGTATCGCAAATCCAAAAACACATTTGTACATGGCAGGATTCGGTCCCAAATGCAGACAAGTCAAGGGCTTAATGAGCTTTTTTCTAAAACTTATACTACTTAAACCTTACTACTACTGAAAGTTGTTAATTAAAGCATACCTTTAATGTCTACTTTTCATACTAAATTCACAAAAAGAGGGACAATGTGTTTAGTAATAAATTAAGAAACTATAATATAAGATTTTATAATACTGATAGTTCACTCAAGGTTTTAGTTCCTAGATAGGTAAAGTAAACCTTTGTGTCAATTTTTTGAAAATGTCTCTATCCAGTAACAAACTGACAATTTTTTTTGTATCAGAAACTAATCTCTTTTAAATATCTGTTACTTAGGTAAATGGAGAAAGCGTAGAAGAGAACGCAAATCTAGTTATCCGTCTGCTGATCAGAAGACCGGAGTGCTTGGGGCCTGCACTCAGAGGAGAGGGTGAAGGTCTACTGAAGGCCATCGTAGACGCCAACAAGATGAGCGAGAGGATCGCTGATAGAAGGAAACTGAGAGACTTGGAGCAAGAGGGAGATATCAACGTAAGTTTTTATTAATTTTTAACTGTATGGTGTGAAATAAGAACATTTTTTTAATTTCCACTTTAAATTTTTAATTGATCCTTCAAGCCGTTGACGAAGTATAAATACACAAACTACAAGATTTTCAAATAAATCAAAGAGTATATAACAAGTACAATGCGTAAATTTTACAAGGTCAATAAAGAAATATAATTTATCTAGCGTTTGCTCATGACTCCGTCTGTGCGGAATTAAGACAAAACTTAATTAGTGGCCTTTGTATCCAGACTATGTTCTATATCTATGACAAACATCCATCCATCGAAACATTCACATTTATAATATTAGTAAGATAAAAACATTGTTTACAGTTCAGTCATCCACTGCCGGAGTCAGATGACGATGAGGACTACATAGACACCGGGGCCGCCATACTTAACTTCTACTGCACATTGGTTGACCTGCTGGGTCGATGTGCACCTGATGCTTCTGTTATAGCTCTTGTTAGTTAATAATACCAGTTTATTATACATATTATGTCATCATCAACCTTCCCTTATCCCTACAGAGGGTCATGTACTCCTCCATACATCTCTATCACCTGTCATATCTGAATCTACCCCCTTACGCATATCTTTCACACAATCCATCCATATATTCTTTGGTCTTCTACCTTTGTAGCCATCCACATTCAATTTCATTACTTTTTTGTTTATATCATCATCCCATAGCTTAACACGTCCAAGCCACGCTAACTCCTCAATTTTTCTATCACTGACGCTACTTTTAAACTTCCTTTCAAACTTTTAAACAAGAATGATTTTATGTATCGCTAATGTTGTTCCTAGGGTAAGAACGAGTCTCTCCGTGCGCGTGCTATCTTGCGTTCTTTAGTACCGCTGGAAGACCTGCAGGGCGTGCTCAGTCTAAGGTTTACGTTGAACAATCCAGCTGCTGGAGAGGAACGTCCCAAGTCCGGTAAGATCCTACTTATGTTTGGAACATAATTTATTGTTTTCATCTTACTGTTTGAAAGTAATTCATCATCAGCTCACTATACGTCCCCACTGAGGGACTCTGAGCCTACCCTAAGTTACTAGGTCATAGTCAACCACGCTGATCCAGTGTGTCGACTAAACACATATCTTTGAATTTCTTCTCAGATATGTGCAGCATCACGATGTTTTCCTTCACCGTAACAACGGATAAATGTACAGATGTAAATCGAACATATTGGTACATGACTGGATTCGAACCCAGGACTCGCAGACAAGTGAAAGATCCAACGACACTCCCGACTATTAACTATGATTATGTTATATCTATTAAGTAAACTGTCATGGAATAAATTTTACAGAAAAACAATAACTTTTATTTTCTTGTTTGTTTTAGACATGCCCTCCGGTCTTATCCCTGGACACAAGCAAAGCGTCGGTTTATTCTTGGAGCGTGTCTACGGCATTGAAACTCAAGAGTTGTTCTATCGTCTTCTAGAAGAAGCCTTCTTACCTGACTTGAGAGCTGCTACCATGTTGGATAGAGTGAGTTGTTTATACTATTTTCTTAGTTTAGTTAGTTCTAGTTACAAAAGAAATTACCTTTCATGCATGTTTGCATGTAACTGAAATTTGTATGCTAAGATAGACGTGTGGTGTGACAAGAAGGGATAAAGTTAAGAACATGTATATTAGAGGAAATTTGAAAGTAGTGTCAGTAATCCAGAAACCGCGGAGCAGGTTAGCGTGGCTTGGACATGTTATGCGGAGAGATGATGATATAAACAAAAAAGTAATGAGATTGAATGTGGATGTATACAAAGGTAGAACACCAAAGAATTTGTGGATGGATTGTGTGAAAGAGGATATGCTTAAGAAAGGGGTGAATTCAGATATGACGGCTGATAGAGATGTATGGAGGAGTACATACTGTGCCGACCCTTGGAATTTTAATAAATCTCTTAGTATAAGTTATTTTTTAAATGTGTAGAAACAGTAAAAACTACAGTCTAGTAATGCCAAACATTTGTAACAGAACGACGGGTGCGAGTCAGACATGGCGCTGTCAATGAACCGGTACATCGGCAACAGCATCCTGCCGCTGCTCATCAAACACGCCAACTTCTACAACGAGGCGGAGAACTACGCCAGTCTGCTGGACGCCACTCTGCATACTGTCTACAGGTACTGCATATTTTACTAATATTATAACTGCAAATGATTGTTTCTATGTATATCCAGAAGGGCTGAACAGATATTGCTGAAATTTAGCATAGATGTAGAACAAAGCCTGGAAAAACACATAGACTACTATTTTTTTTCTTGACAAAAGTGTGGACTGATTTAAATAACGACGATATTAAAATGTAAAATAAACAAGAAAGATATTAGTGGATTTTCCTAATGAGAGATTTCATGGGAAGGGAAAATATTTTCTTTCTGTGCTTCCCCTCAATCAGTTAAAGGTAGGCACCGCATATGCAATTGCGTATATCTATGTTCAACGGTCGCTCGCTCTTTTGCCACCCACCTTTTGATATAAAAAACGACAATAATTTGTAACAATTTAATTACGTAAAACTAATTTTCTAGATCGATTCAGTTTCAAAATGTGATACGTATGCATTATATTTCAGATTATCAAAGAACCGTATGCTGACGAAAGGTCAGAGGGAGGCGGTGTCAGACTTCCTGGTAGCGCTGACATCCGCGATGCAGCCCTCCATGCTGCTCAAACTGCTGCGCAAACTCACCGTCGACGTCTCCCGCCTCTCTGAGTACACTACTGTTGCACTTAGGGTATGTTTAACTGATATTAGGTCATTTCAATGTATATAATCAGCAGGGATGAATTTTGGGACACTGTTTATTTTTGCAATTGATTAAAATAATATTAGAAAAATATTTTCTTCATAAAGAAATAATAGGTATCCGATTATTATATTTTTTTTCGAAATTTTCATAAAAATGAAAAAAAAAATGATATGAAGTAACGTCACAGTCAGGAATTTGATTATATTCCGTATACATAAGTTACAGCCGCACATTTAAAAGTTACATAACCAGTCTTTTAGTATAATACCACATCGACGTTAAGGAACACTTAGTTGTCATATAATAACTCTGAGTGAGGCAGGAAACAGATTATAGACACTGAATAGGGCAGGAAAACCGTTTAAAGACTCTGAGTTTGGCAGGAGACTGTTTAAAGATACTGAGTTTGTCAGGAAATTGTTCAATTGACGACGTAACTCCGCAGTTGCTGACGCTGCATTACGAGCGTTGCGCGAAATACTACGGCAGTACTGGCGGGCAGGGAGTGTACGGTGCATCATCAGACGAGGAGAAACGGCTCACCATGATGCTCTTCTCCAATATCTTCGACTCCCTCAGCAAGATGGATTATGAACCGGAGTTATTCGGGAAAGCGCTGCCATGTCTCATTGCCATCGGTCAGTATGTGTTGACACATCTTGTTGTCTCTGTTTTTTGTATAGAAGATGAAAAGGATGTCAATCTCGAAACCTATCCGACTGGTATAAGCTGGCTATTTTGTATTTAGAAGTAGTAAAGTTGCCAACTAAGTTATAAAAACGATGGCTCCTACGGAGACTATTGTAAGTCATAATTTCGCGATTTATACACTTCGAACAATGTTGTTTTATAGTCTTAAATTAACTTGATAATATTATTTGTGTAATTTCTGTTTTGTCTTGCAAAAGCGTGACAGATAATTTACTTCAGAGTCATAATTTAAATTTAAACAAGTGTCTCTTTCCATATGAAAATAAGTAAATAGATTTTGTATTGTCATAGGTTGTGCCCTGCCACCTGATTATTCATTGTCGAAGAATTATGATGATGAATTCTACGGAAAGGAAAATCAAGCCACGGGTAAGAAAAAATAATTAAAATTACAAACATTCTAACAGTATATTTGGACTCTCGCGTATCCAGGTACTAAGTTGGACTGTATTATGTATTTTGATATAAGCAGGAGCAGACAATCCGCAGTACGACCCGCAACCCATCAACACGTCTTCAGTAGCACTCAACAACGACCTCAACACTATCGTGCAGAAGTTCTCCGAACATTACCACGATGCCTGGGCCTCTAGGTAACTGTTACAATTGTATTGCTATCTCGCATATTCTCTTTCACAAAACAGAGACAACATGTGTACTATTACTATAGACAAAGCCCACTGTTATATGAAAATAATTTACTCCAGTAACCCAGTGTATGCAAAAATTACTGACTTGTTCAGCACAGTCCTGACCTCTGAACTCTTGTATATCATCATCGGTGAAAGTGTTTAAATAAAATAAAATTTGTCTAAATAGTTCAATGATATTAATTAATTCATTTATATAGGAAAATCGAGAATGGTTGGGTGTACGGTGAATCTTGGTCTGACAGTCAGAAGACGCATCCCCGTCTCAAGCCATACAACATGCTGAATGACTATGTAAGTTATTTAACTTGAATATGAGTAGGGATTTTCATTCCAAAATATTCATACTAAAACGTATTATCTTTTAAATTCTCTCTAAAGAAGAAACTAATATCAAATATTTTTCGTCTCAAAACTCCTTTTTTTTTTCCTTACCAGACATGCCTATCCCATAGTGCCTTTCCTTATAATTTATATATAAACGGGCTGGCATAATCGTACCGCCGCGAATGAAACCGGGTCTGATAAAATTATAAAATTCGAGGTACAGAACCCTAAAAATGGACATATGTGTACTATTTTTATCCTACTGACCCATAGCGTAATGTTATTCGACGTATATATGTTTTATGTATTTAGTTTTAGTATGTATGATAATTCCATTGTGATCTCTAGTCTAAACAACTGAACTGATTTTGATGTTGGATTTATATGAAATAATATTTTATTCAATGGAAACCTACATTTTACAGGAAAAAGAACGTTACAAAGAACCAGTGAGGGAATCTCTGAAGGCGTTGTTGGCTATCGGTTGGTCTGTGGAGCATTCTGAAGTTGATATACCAAGTACTAATCGCAGCTCTATGCGACGACAGTCAAAGTCGGGAGGCGTAAGTGTAGCTTATTTATTATTTATATTTATGTGTTAAAAATATTATATGTTTGTTACTTACTTGAATATGTTGTTTAGGAGTGAAATTATTTAATAATTTTTTAAACATAAACATTTACTTAATTTAACATAAGTATATTTCTTAAAGAAAACGAAAGATACGTAAAATAGTTAATAATTATTTATAGTTATGAAATTTTCTAATTATTGACTTGTTTCATTGTTCATGCGATCAGGAGGTGGATATCGAGATTGAAGTGGTATTCAAATTTTCTTTCTATTAGTTTTACATTTAGAAAGTAAATACCATGTTTTATTATATTAAGTTAAATAAATTAGAATCTACTTCCTATTTATTATAGGATAAATTTAATTTAGTTTAAGACACATGTATTATTGTGAAAAAGTATATAAATTTACTCTTATTATTCTTGAGAAGGAAATAAGTACAGTCAAACCAGGATAAGCGAGATTCTAAGGAACTATGATATTTTGCTCGCTTACAGTGGCTTGTCTCTTGCTCGAGTTTCTCGCTTATCCCGGTTGGACTTTAGTTGGCACTATTTAGAAAAACCTGCAATCAATACTTTAGTCCTTCTTATTGTTGCATAGGCAAACATTTTGATATTCCAGAAATATACCTGAAAAGTACCAGGGTAACATAGGAATGATAGTGTCTAATTTAAATGTTTCATGTATCCCCCCTTTATAGTGAAAATGTTCCAAAAACAGAACGTATTATCACTGTGTTTAATAAATCCAATTGTCACGGAAATTCTGCGTTACAATGTCACTGAATTTTTGTGTTACAATGTCACTTAATTGTGTTACAGCCTAATTTTATCATTAAATCGGTGCTATAGAAACTTTTCGTTCTTACACATTTATCCGTTTGGTTACCAAAAGTAGATGTTAAAGTCAATTTCTCTTGTAAATCTATACTAAGAGTTCTATTCGCTGCAAATTAACGGTAATACTAAATTTAATAACATTTTTGTATAGCGCCGATTTATAGATTTTGTATCCTTTAAATAGTTTTGTTAACCTGAATGTTGTTTCATATTCCCGCATCTCATACACAACAGCGAGCGCCTGATATTATTGTAAGTATACACAATCATGTAACATTGCTATTTTATTTCATGCGTAACCGAGAATATAAAAATTCTGGCATGAAGACACTTCAAGCGTCTTGTTCATTACATTACTTCATAATTACAAATATGTTGAGATTTGTTATATTCCTGGTTAAGCTATGAATTAATTAAAATTCCACATTTCTAAATGTCTAATGCTCATGATATTCCCTGTTTTTATATGTGAATTGTTTAAATAAAGACGATTTTTTTGTATATAACAAATTTCATAATTTAGTAATGTTTACTACATTATCGATAAATGTATAGTATTCAATCTTATTATAAGGCTAAGCCCAAATTTTGTGCTTTTAATTTACATATATTGTAACTTAATTATCTTGAAGTATTAAAATCTTTCATATCTTACATATTCTTCCCTACTTTCATAAATATATCAGGGATGAGTTTACACTATTAACAATGTAATAATCACTAAGATAACTTATAAATTCACAGACGGATTCCGCAACACCATTCAACTATAATCCCCAACCAGTAGACATGACCAACTTGACGTTATCCCGAGAGATGCAGAACATGGCGGAGAGGCTGGCTGAGAACGCACACGACATCTGGGCTAAGAAGAAGAAAGAAGAATTAGTTGTTAATGGAGGTAAGAGTATAGTTCGACAAACATATCTCACCCGGTCAGAGGCGTTGCGAAGATAATTTTGTTAGAAAATATTATATAAAACCTACTTGGAAGAAAATTAAATTAGATTTAATTAATGCCATGTCTGATTTATTAGTAGGCTTTGGTAAAATCGTCGTCTTTTTTCATACTTATGACCATCATATTATCTGAATATACTCTCTTCCACATAATTCATCCATACATTCTCGTTGTTCTATCAAGAAAGTATGGATAGATTATGGTGCTTATTTTTTTATAAAGTCACAAAATAGCGTAGTTTTTACGCATAATATCCTATTTTAAAATGCAATTTAATATAATTCCAGGCGGCATACATCCTCAGTTAGTACCCTACGATTTACTGACAGACAAAGAGAAGAAGAAAGATCGAGAACGTTCTCAAGAGTTCCTCAAATATCTACAATATCAAGGCTACAAACTCCATAGACCAAGTAAAGCAACACAAAGTGATACAGAACAGACCACTACGGGGGTGGCAATAGAGCTCAGATTTGCGTACTCGTTGCTTGAAAAACTTATCCAATACATTGATAGAGCTACTATTAATATGAAGTTATTGAAACCGTCTACAACATTCAGTAGAAGACCAAGCTTTAAGACTAGTACTAGAGATATTAAATTCTTTTCTAAGGTAATTATAAATTAACAATTTTTTAATATATGACATTGTCACTAATTCCTATAAATGGATAGGCGACTTTGAAATACTTTTACAGCGTTCCGATTCAAACGCGCTTGTTGATGTTACGTAACAGTTAATCTTATATCTTAAAATGAGCAATTCTTGTATATATATAATTGGAATCTCGGAACCGGCTCCAATGATTTTCATAAAATTTAGTATATAGGGGGTATCGGGGGCGATAAATCGATCTAGCTAGGAATCATTTTTAGAAAATGTCATTTTATTCATGTTTTATCGATAATCAACTTAAACATAAACTTAACTTTCTCTATCGGTAAGATCGTAAAATATTATTCATATTTCATCATTTTATTAGTAATTCATACTTTCCAAAAAACACAATTTAAAAAAAAATACCGAGCAAAGCTCGGTCATCCAGGTACTTATAATTAAGTACGCACAAAATAATACATCGCATAGCCAATCCATTTATAGAGGTTAGTGGACCTACTAATTATTTTTTTATTCTGTACCAAATATTCTCCATTTTCTTTTTACTAGAAATACACTAACGTAACTCCCTAACCTACAATGTAGTAGCAAATATTTTTTTCCATACATTTCTTTCTAACCTAATCTCTCACAATGCAAATCTCTAGTTTTTCCATACAATAGTGTTATTTGATATATTTCTTTATCTTTGTACTATTTTAATATATTACAAGCCACTCAAATCGGAAATAAAATATTTCAAGAAGGTATTTTCTAACATATTTATACTATTCATACTAATTTGCTTTTGTATTTTTAATGCAATGAAACAATGAAAGTTGAACTATCAGTGAGTTTCTGAGAATAAACTGTCTAAATAAATTTGTCTGTTTTGTCAAATATAATGACTGGAATGACAATGTGTCTTATATAGAGATTTTGGTCTCGGAAACCCACTGTAAGTCATTGTAGCGTCAGTGTTAGAAAATATAGAACAGTTTTAATTAGTGTTAAATGTAATCTTTAATATTACACTACAGTTAGCAATATTTTTTATTACAAACTAGCTGTCGCCCGCAACTTCGTCCGCGCGTAAATAAAAAAAAAATAGTAGCTTATGTGTTCTTCCAGACTATGTTCTAAATCTGTTCCAAATTTCAGCAAGATCCATGCAACCGTTTTAGGGGGTTAGACAAAGTACATTCGCTTCAAAACGATTCCATAAGGAACTACAAAAATGTATAGAACTGACAATAACTTCCGATAAGTCACGTGATTGTCGTGCGTCAGTTCCATACATTTTTGAAGTTCGCTGTGGAATCGTTTTGAAGCGATTGCACCTTGTCTAACGCCGCTGGAGATACCTTCTGACAAACATCCATCCAAACATTCGCATTTATAATATTAGTAAGATTGATTAATTAGAAGATTCAGCGGAAATTATTTTTTTTAGCTTTTGTGTGCATGATGTTTAAAGGCCTGTTTCCACTCATATTCTACTTCATTGAGATTTCAAACAGGACCATGAAATAAAAAGAAATTGCGTTATTAAAGTGCCACGCGCCATTTTTATAATTATGTCAAACTGCTTATTGCCATAATAAAAAAATAGTTTGGTGGTGTTGCCATTAATTATGCATTTTTATATTGTTTATTTATAGGTTGTACTGCCGTTAATGGAGAAATATTTCTCTACGCATCGTAACTACTTCATAGCTGTAGCGACAGCGACCAACAATGTGGGCGCGGCCAGTCTTAAGGAAAAAGAAATGGTTGCAGCGTTGTTCTGTAAACTGGCCAGTCTTTTGAGATCACGGTACGATTTTTTTTAATAAATGACGTCACTAATATTTGTTTGAATTTAAGAAAAAAACTCAATAAGTAGCCTACGTGTTCTTCCATACTATGTTCTATATGTATGCCAAACATCAGCGAGATTTATGCATCCGTTCCAGAGATAACTTCAAACAAATCATTATCCATCCATCCATCCAAACATTCGCATTTATATTAGTAAGATTATCTTATATAAAAAATTCTCGTGTCACAATTTTCGTTCCCATACTCCTCCGACGCTTGACAGATTCTCATGAAATTTTGTGAGCATATTGAGTAGGTCTGAGAATCGGCCAACATATAATTTTAATACAGCGCGGGCGCATCCGAGTCGCGGGCGACAGCTAGTTATGAAATAATATTTTGTTTTCCAGTTTGGCAGCATTCGGTCCGGACGTTCGTATCACAGTGCGTTGTCTACAAGTACTGGTCAAAGGCATCGATGCGAAGTCTCTCGTCAAGAACTGTCCTGAATTCATCCGAACTTCGATGCTCACATTCTTTAATAACGTGGCCGACGATCTTGGACATACGATATTGAATTTACAAGAGGTAAGGATGAATATGAGAGCGTCGGTGGCTCAGATATCAAGCACTTGACTTGCAATCTGCAGGTCGTGGGTTCGAATCCCGCCATGTACCAATGTGTTTTTCGATTATAACATATGTACATTTATCCGACGTTCATACGGTGAAGGAAAACATCGTGATGCAACCTGCACATATCTGAGAAGAAATTCAAAAGATATGTGTGAAGTCAACTAACCCGCACTTGGCCAGCGTGGTTGACTATGACCTAATCACCCTTAACTTAGGATGATAATTAATAAATATCTCCAACTAAATAGACTCGAAAGTGTGAAGAATATTTGACAATACAACTAAAGTTCTCTGACAGTACAAAATTATGATTTGCCTTTCTATCTTTTATAATTGTGATTGTAAAAGTGACTTGTCCGCTCTGAACTTCGTCCAAGCGCATGCCACAGTGTAGCGTACAGGCATACGAGGACACACATGATCTAGAGCGTCCGAGATATTTGAAACGATGTATACTAGTTGTATTTATTGTATTTTGTATATTTTTTACAGGGTAAATACGCGCATCTCCGCGGCACGCACCTGAAGACTTCCACATCTCTGGGGTATATCAACGGCGTGCTCCTCCCCGTCCTCACCGCCATGTTTGACCACCTCGCCAACTGCGAGTACGGAGCTGATCTACTGCGTAAGTCTAGCTCACTCTCACACTCTATCTATATCTATACTTAATATTATAAAGCGGAAGAGTTTGTTTGTTTAAACGCGTTAATCTCTGGAACTACTGGACCGATTTGAAAAATTATTTTTTTCTTGGATAGTCCATTTATAGAGGAAGGCTTTAGGCTATATAACATTACGCTGCAACCGATCGGTTTTTTTTTAATTCCGCGCGGACAGAGTCGCGGGAAACGGCTAGTTTATTATATATCTGGAAGTAGAACTAGTAAAAAATACTTCGTCCTAACCTGTTCTAAAACTACACATATAAAAAACATTGAAAACCAAATCTTTTCCTATCAGTTTATTTATTAATGAACTAATCAGAGTCACTTTCCTCGTCTTCTTCATCACTGGAATCGCTGGAATCGCTGGAATCATCACTGGATTTCGATACATCAAACACAGTAGCACATGACTTCTTACAGTCCTTCTTGAAAGACTTTATCTGCTTTTTCTTACATTTATGGTCTGCGCATGTTTCACTAAAAGATATTATGTAAGGGAAAATTATAATTAAATTAGAATACTAATATAAAAACGTATAAAACACTGACGTATGTTCGTCCGGTGGCGGCACCGACTAGTTTCGAGCCCATCGGGGGCCGTTCATCATGGTGAGTCGGACTGGTATTATTTCGCGGACAAGACCCGTCTCTCACTCACAAGCCGACGATGGGCTCGAAACTAGTCGGTGCTGCCACTAGACGAGGGTATTTTAGACGTTTTTAGGGTTCCCCGTATCGCGAAAGGAAAAAACCGGAACCCTTATAGGATCTCTTTGTTGTCTCTGTCTCTCTATTAAGACGCTTTTTCTCAGGATCTTATAAATTCATGATTGTCTCACGAAAGTTTGAAAATATAATAATGAATTCATATAGTTAAAGGAATAACTAACAGAAACTAGTAAGTTATGTAGATAAGAGATATGTCACATAACCGGAGAAACCTACGGGAAACCTTTGATGCGGAATATGACGCAAAAGACATGACAAGACAACTTTAGACCAATAAAGTTAACGGACCCGGTGACATCAAACTAAGAGCCAATAGCCTAATGATTAAGGATACGGATTGCCGATCAGATGGTCATGAATTCGAAGTCATTCGACTATTGTCGTAAACCATATCACAAGCTTTGCTTAATTGGAATGTTATAAGAAATATTAGTATATTAACAAAACTCTGCTAATATTAATTAAAAAAAAAAACTTTTTTATTAATGTCAAAATATCACAAGATCCTTGTCATATGTCATTAAATTTTCTAAGTAAGTTTAAAATATTCTATGATAGAACTAATAACAATATCACAATAGCAGCCTCCTTACCGGCTCAGATAAGCCTGTCGAACTATACAATCTGACAAAGATCTTTTGACAGTTTTTGACATTGAAAGAGGGGAGCCTGTACTAAATTAGTCGCACTATCCATGGATTTCTGAGACCAAAATCGCTGTGTTCAACATTGTGCTTGACAAAACAGAGGTAACATATATTTAAAATTAGGATTTTTGTCTCAGAAACTTATATGTTTTTACGTTGTAACACCGCATGTACCGTTCATGTGGCATCTCCTTAAAACTAAAATAGACTATAGATCAGTATTTCCCAAAGTGAGCGACAACGCCCCCTTGTGGGCGCTGCAGGTCTCAAGTTGCGGGTTATAGTAAAAGTTTCCTTTACAATTCTCAGTTAATATACATATATAGGTCACAATAATTAATTAATTTAATTTGAAGTTATAGTGGTTTTTAAATATGTTAAAATATGGGGGCGCTAAAAAAATATTTATTCTCAAAGTGGGCAGTAGACAAAATAAGTTTGGGAACCACTGGTTTAGATGAATAACTTACGTTATAGCAACATTGCATGCGTTATTGCACTTCTTGGCTACAGCCTTTTTACAAGCCTTGTCGTATTTATCGCGCAGTACGTTCACATTTCTGTATCCAATGGTTTTTGACTTCATAGTACTTAATAATTCCTCGATTGAAAGGGGATATGAATCATTCTATAAAATATATTTAATTTAACTTTTATATACTCTCCGTCGACCGCGAATTCGTCCGCGCGGGATTAAAAAAACATTAGTAGACTATGTATTCTTCCACACTATGTTCTATATGTATACCACATTTCATCGAGATCAGTTCCGGTGACACTTGCAAACAAATATCCATCCATCGATTCATCTACATATTTGCAAGTAGTTCCTTACCGCGAACAATTCTTTTACCATTCATATAGAATCGTCTTAAATCTATGATATTAAATAAAATATTAAAAACGAATAATTAACTAAAATATATTATTAAAAGGAGTCCCTTTAGGCAAAGTTCCGAAGATCATTGAATACAACTGATTTTAAATTTACATATGTACATTTATCTGACGTTCTTACGGTGAAGGAAAACATTGTGATGCTGCACATATCTTAAAAGAAATTCAAAGATATGTGTGAAGTCAACCAACCCGCACTTGCCCAGCGTGGTTGACTATGGCCAAGTCATGTAACTTAGGGTAAGCTCCGAGCCCCTCAGTGGGGACGTATAGTGAGCTGATGATGATATTAATAACTCAATAAAATATGAACTAGTTACCTCTTCGTCTTCACAGCCTAAGTTCAAATCGACGACGGTTCTTGTCAACCGAGGCGGTTTTTCTGAAACATTAAAATACATAAAATATGCATTTAACCATCCCTCAATATTAAAAGAGCATACTTTAGTTGAAGACTTTATTATTAATCCAAATTACAAATCTTTACCAAAATAATCCCGTTAAAAAATTTATTTATCAGTCATTACAAGATTTTCTTTATTAAATACTAAATTAAACTTTAAAAAAAACTTAATAAGTAGCCTAAGTGTTGTTTCTGACTATGTTCTACATCTATGAAAAATTTCTACAAGATCCGTTCAGCAGCTTTGAAGATATGCGCTCAAACATATACCCATCCATCTAAAAATTGGAATTTATAATATTAGCAAGATTATTTATTACCTGCGTGATTGACATATATAACAGCCGATATATTTCTTTTGCTTCCTATTTTACCGTGTTCGTCCCAAAATTCAGCAATGCAAGCTTTTTTACTATTTGCTTTGAACGTCTTTTTGAAATTACTCTTGCAATTGTAAGTTGCACACGTTGCTTTTGTACAATCTTTTAATGCCTGTAGGATTATAATTATTACGCCTATTCGTATTATTATATTGCATTATCTTAATCTTAATTAAGTATTAAAATTTTATTTGAAATACAGTCAAAACGCGAGATATTTT